AACGGAACCGCACCCCTCGGTGTGGCCCCCGCCCCTTGCCCAGCCAGTAAGCGGCCAGTCTGTATGTGGGATCCGAACCCTCGGCGGGAGCGCCGCCGCGCTCCCAAGCGGCGCACTGTAGCAGTGCGCCAACCGGGCCGGCCCCAGATATTCTTTATATGAAGAAAGATACAGATTTTTGAAACCTTGGTTAAAACTTCTTGGGCCGAGCCCGTGGCGCACTTGGGAGAGTTTGGCGCTGGGAGCGCAGCAGTGCTCCCACCGCGGGTTCGGATCCTATACAGGGATGGCTGCTGGTGCGCTCACAGCGCTCACTGGCTGAGCGCGGTGCGGCCGGTCTCAAAAAGGACAAAAAAAAAAAACCTTCTTAACTTCTAGTTTCAAATTTCTTAGAGACAGTAGAAAATTTCTATAATAAACAAAAAATGTAATTAATGTACTTTTATTGCAAAATAACAAAGATAGCAACTTTATGACAAGTCAAATGAGTTAACTAAAATTCAGAGAAAACAGCTTCAAACGTTTTCTGTGGAAGAGAGAGCAGTAGTTGCTAAGGGTTGGCATGTCTTAGGTTTCAGTACACAGAGGATGGTATAGTTCCGGGGTGGGTCTCAGGAAGGCAAGGAATGAAGATTGTGCAGAAAGTACAGGGAGAAAGGATGAAGGCCACTCTTTGGCATGGATGGCACCATGGATACCAACTCCAAGAAAGCAGAAAGTATAGTAGATCATTAAGTATGTGTGTATATATCTTTTTTTGAAATCTGCATACATTACACTATAACATAATGTTTAAATTGGATCATAAACAGGAGATCCTAGACATCTAAACACAAAGAATCCAGAATCTACATCACCAAAATAACAGCAAGACAAACACACAGTTAACCAGCCCCCAAAATCATCTTTACCAAGTACGTTAATTATAAAGCTGAACAACCGTACAATTGTTTTAAAAATTCACAAAGACTATTTAGTTATTATTAATCTATATCTCCTTTGATGTTTTAACTTGTCAATTTAGAATAATTTTAGGTAAAAATACCTTACTTGAGAACTTTATTTTATGTACTATAGAGAATACTCTTCATCTTTCCATTATCACAGACTGAATATTAAATCTGGTATTATATATGAAATTTCTATATCTAACATTTAACTGAAGCACAAAGTCTTTGTTCCTTATATAATAGGATGATAACCTTCTACCTCACAATAGTTAAGGTCAGAAGTAAATTTATTTTTGGTCCTTTATTTGGGGGAAGAGCATGGAGGGGTAGTTTTGAAGAGGTTTCCATCTTAGAAATTGCCCATATGAGTTATTCTTAAGAACCACAGACTGCTGACTGTGATAAAATATTGTAAAAGCGTGCTATTTTAATCTTCTGATTTTCATTATAATTTACTATTACTTATTTTAATAGCTTTTTTCTTTTTGTACTCAAGTGAAAATACAACAGCCACATGTTCTAGAATGATATATTAAGTGTATGAACAGCAACTTCTTTATAAGAGAATTTATTTCTCAAACGGTTTACCATTTCAACACCTAGATCATTATCTAGAAAGAAATCCTAATATTTCTCTTTTAATTATTTATTTATTTTTGGCAGCTGGCCAAATCATTCAAAGAAAATAATTTCCTGGCCAGTTTGAAAGAATAGAAGAGGCCAAAGTGTTCAATTTCTTAGTTAACTGAGCTAAAATATATCAACTTTCTGTGCTGACAATACAGATATTACTAGAGTCAATAATATATGAAACATCTTCTGCACTGGCTGTTGTTACAAGAGATACCTCAATGACACATCTAATAGATACTCATTATTTATTTGTTGGTTTTAAAAATGGGCAGGACCCACCTTTTCGAAATAGAGTGTCTTGGCCCTTTGGCCCTTTGTACTTCTACCCTATGGGAATATGAAGAAGCTGAGCGTAAAGGCTGAGCTATAAGGGTTACATGTGTGCCAGAGTAGCTAGGTCTATTTTTGCCTCCAGATTTGGGTTTCTTGTGCACAACAGAGACAAACTCTAGATTCCCTAGGAGGAAAAAAGTGTTTATAAGAGCAAAAACGACCTAAATGTGAAGTCATACAGGTGAATCCAACTCAGGAGGTGCTAGGAAGCTACCTGGCTTCCTTATTCTTCCCAGTATATATATCTGCTTCAATTTGCCACTGCCTAAGCTTAGCAATTGTCACTCACTTGTAGTCTGTGATGTTTACACCTTGCAGAGGAGGGAGAAAAGACAAAGGTAAAAATAGAAGAAATAAAATGCTTTTATTTAAAAGGGAATTTCCTGGAAAAACCTGAATATGACAAGGGAACCTTGTCTTTTTCTTTCAACAATTTTCATAAGAAATGAGACGATGAAGCGGCCTCACCTCCCATGAGGCTGACTCGGTAGAGCCTGTCATGCCAAAAGCAAACAACCAACGGCTCAATATGCGAAAAGGTTTTAGGGTATTTATAACGTAGGTGTACTTTAATGTAGATGACTTTACTTTTAAAAATAAAGCTTCTGGGCCGGCCCGTGGCTCACTCGGGAGAGTACGGTGCTGATAACACCAAGGCCCCGGGTTTGGATCCCGCATGGGGATGGCCGGTTCGCTCACTGGCTGAGCGTGGTGCTGACAACACCAAGTCAAGGGTTAAGATCCCCTTACCGGTCATCTTTTAAAAAAAAAAAAATAATAAAAATAAAGCTTCTTATGAATACATCTTTCAGTACTTGGAAGCTGGGTTGTAACTTCTTGAATATTTACTCTCTACAAAAGTATTTTATTTTATTTATTTATTTATTTATTTATTTATTACTTTTTTAGTAGCTGGCCAATACAGTACAGGGTTCTGAAAAAGTATTTTCTTTCCAGTAAACCGTTAAAATCCAATTTTAAGAAGGACATATGTTCATTATATGAAGTTTTAAAAACATAGAGAAGTATTTTTAAGGGCTGGCGAGTTAGCTCACTTGGTTAGTGTGGTGTTGGTAACACCAACGTCAAAGGTTTGAATCCCCATAATGGCCAGAAGCCAAGAGAAAAAAGAAAATTATTTTTGTTCGTTTTTGGCAGCTGGTCAGTACAGGGATCTGAACCCTTGACCTTGGTGTAGAAAAGTACTGTTTTGTTTTTTTTTTTAAAGATCCGAACCCATGGCCTTGGTGTTATCAGCACTGCACTCTCCCGAGTGAGCTATAGGCCGGCCCCAGAAAAGTACTTTTAAAGTTAAAAAAGAAACCACATGTATTTCCACCACCCAAAAATAAATAATCACTCAAAATTTGGAGGCCACTCTTGTTACTGTCCCTATATAATTTAGAGAAAAAGACTCAAATGGTCCCAAATGTGGAGTATACTAACATTTATAAAGCAAATGTATTTCATAGGGCCTAGCTTCCAAAGCCCTGTACTTTCAGGTATAACCTAACTTTTTAAAATTACACATAGAAATGTTAAGCTTGCAAAAGACAGGAAACTTTCCCCAGGCTAAAGTCTCTGTTGTAGATAAAGAATTGTAACACAGCAAAATTGCTGGCTCAAGGACAGATGCCCTTGGAGCAGGTTAACCTAAAGTTACTTGATGGTTATGTAAAAATACTAAGGAAATTGCTGTAGGAAAAGACAGTATTTGCTAAAAACAAGCTTTTGTTGGTGGATCAACTTAACCTTTTGCAAATTACATTATGGAATGTCACTTTGTTATTTCACTGATGTTACCAGCTTCTATTGTTAAACTATACTTAGCCATAACTCCATTTATGTTCCTTTTCTGTAACCTCCTGTCCTGGAAAATAAATACTGGGAGAAGACCCCAGTCCGGTGTTATTTTTCCAAGGAGGAATGCCTCTCTCTTGAGGGTTCCTGGAAAACTAACCCCTTTGGGGCTTCTCACTGCTCAGAAGAAATGGGCTTTGAGTAATCCTTTGTGTCTCTATCATCCCAAGTAAGGCAAAGTGACACCCAAAAATCTCACAAAGATATTTTTCCTGGAGAATAGATCACATTTATAATATTTTACATTTAATCCTGTAAACCAGAGATTCCTGAATGTTTTTTGGTCTAAGCACATATTTTACATATTTGCCCAGCACCTCTTCTCCCAAGAATACAATAATAAACCATGAAGAATATGGTCAAGACTTATGGCAAGGAGAACTGATATAGAAATATCTTAATCCAGCCATTAGCTGAGAGATTGCTCACCCATCCCTGCAAAAGCCTTATTCTCCTGACTCTGAGACAGAAGGAAAACTCTTTCATTGCCAGAGTGTGGTAGTAAATGGAGTTTAAAGAATAAAGAACCATATTAAAGGAATGTTGTCATGTTTTCTCCATCCAGGAGGGTATAGAGGAAATGACCTGGCATTTCTTAGTTTGGGGAACTATGGCTCTACTG